GATTAAAACTAGACCCACATCTTCACCAAGCATTAAACTAAAATCCAAACGGATAAAAGATCTAAATATTAAAACAGAAACACTAAATCTGCTACAAGGTAATAGAACTCTTGAAGACAGTGCTGTAGACAAAGACTTTATAAACAAAATCTCAATCACATAGAAACTATCACAAACAATTAACAACTGGGATCTCATCTTATGAAAAAGCTTTGCACAGCAAAAGAAACCAGCAGAGTGAAGATAAAACCTACTGTGTGGGGCAAAAACATTTTTTCCAAGTGTTCCTCAGACTAGGGACTAATATGTAGAATATACATAAAGAACAAAAAAAAATAGATACCCAAATTTAAACCCTATCCAGAAATGAGCATCTGAAATCATTAGACACTTCTCAGATGAAGGAGAAGAAAAGTCAAATATATATATCAAAAAGCGTCCAATATCACTGGTCATTTGTGAGATGCAAATTAGATCCATGCTGATATTCCACCTTACCCCAGAAATAATGGCTTTTACTAAGAAATCAACCAAAAACAAATGCACGTGGGCTGTAGGGAAAAGTAGTTATTTTCAGTATAGCACCAAAAGATATACACATAGGCTTCATAGGATTAGTTTTCTGATTTTTTAATCCAAACTTTAGATCATGTGATATTATGAAACAAATTCAATCTAAGTATGTTTCTGGAACTTTCTTATGTTAAAAGTACTGATATTACCAATCAATATTTGAATCTGTCACAACCATCTCATCCAACTACCAACAAGTCAGTGTTTCTAATTTTTAATTAAGAGGGAGGTCTAATGCCTAAATAAACCCATTTCATTTTTGACAGCTATTTAGGAAGCTCTTTATTACCTTCAACTAAATCTAGTCTGTCATCTGTTCATTGATTTCAGTACATTCTTTCTGAAAAATAATGGAACTTTTTTTTTCTCTTCCACATGAAAATCATTCAGTTTCTTGAATACAGTAAGGTTTCACTTGCATCTTTTCTACCCCAATTATTGGGCAACATTTATTTATTTTATTAATCAACATTGTGATACCACTTGAAGATTCTCTAGTTTCTGTAACTGCTCATGGATTAGCACAGAGTAGAGAAAGTCTGCCTGTTTTATCTTCTGTCAGTAAAAAAGAAGATAATAATAGCTTTCTTGGCAGGCATAAATCAGTATTGATTTGTATTCTAGCTACTATTAAGTAAAACCCTTTGACACTTTTTGAAACAAAAGTATCTCTGTACTGTACTTGTAAAGACAGATCCAAATTTCAAAATCTTACATACTACCCTATGCTATTCTATTAGACCTGTCCAACCACTCTATCAATTTGATCACAGTTTAAAATTCATGTTATTTCCTATTATATGTTAATTACAGTTGTACCCATTTTTTTAAATATCCTTAAAATATCCTCATTTAACCCAGGAGGAATTCCAGGTCTGTGACAGAGGAATTATCTTCCAAATATCAGGTAACTTGTCTGAGGTGTCCTTAAACATTGCATAATATGTGGAATTTGATTATACATTTATCTGATTTCAAAATTCATAATTGTATTTGTTTCTACTAAGCTATTTTTCCACCACAATCAAATTGTTTGTATATCAAACAAGTCATATAGAATACTAAGGGCTTGAGTGTATCATAATTGTTGGCCATGTGAGGCTTAGACGGTATCTTACACATCTATATTATCATATTTGTTCAGGTCATATTTTTTCATATTGTGAAATATTTTGCAAATTTATTTATTAGAATTTCTATGTGCTGCTGTGTCCAGCCTAGCTCTCAAAATTCTCTGCATGAAGGGTAGTGAAGGATGAAGAAATGAAGACAAGAGTTGGAAAACAGAAAACTGAGGCCAGGTGGAGCCCTCTTTCTAGATGGGAGAAAAGGTTCTGCTCAATGATCGCAGCACGTTTATTTATACATTCAGCAGTTTGATGTCATGTGACACTCCTTGGTCCCCTGCTGTTCTCTAGGCTGGAGCAGCTTTTCACTTGACTTACCTGGGGCTCTGTTTGTTCTTGGTACCAACCTTGCTCCAGCCCCACAGGTAGGATTGATCTCCAGCTTCAGCCACTCCCCAGGATATACATACACATACATGTCTCATTAATTTTCCTTATTAAATATTCAAGGTCATCCATAAAAACATTAAGCATGAACAGGATTGCTTCATGTAAAACACAGAAGTACCAAAACAGCCAATTAGTGTTATAAAGCCCATTTACCTTAATTCTTCATTTTCTATAATAGACAGAGCAGTCAAAACAATGAGACAGTATTGGGTCATAGCTGATTTCTAAGGCAGAAAATAAGAGAACTATAAAATCATAACAGGAAGATTCAGTAGTTACCTTTAGAAGCAGCACTATATGATACAACATACTTATTAATGTTTATAATGATAAAGATGTCATTAATAAAGTAATATGTATTTCTGGGTTTCTGTACAAAGAATAAAGTTGCAAAAGCTCATTAAATGCTTTAAGAAAACAATTTGTAAGAAAATTTTAGTTATCTATACCTTTAAATTACAGTTCTTCGAAGCATATGCTTCCTCTCAATAAAGGTGAACATATGAAATGCTATTAGGTACTTATATGTTTGCTTTTATGTGTCGATGCTTCTTATGAATAATTCCTGGAAAACTTTTAGTATGTGTCAATTTCCTATGTGATACTAAAATAAGAGTGTTGGGGAATAATTCAGTTTTAAAGTGAACAACTGTTTTCATACCATCAGTCTGAAAATGGGACTACAAGTAGGGAGTTCTGATATTCCCAGTCTCTGTTATTTCCCTTAAAGTTCTTTCATATGTATAACCTGAAACATCTTTTTAAGTACTTGGGCATAACCTAGCATTACTATTTTGAAAACATTCCTCTTTCTGGTTACATATAACTGTTTCAGTGAGAAATAGATCCATAGGCTGAGTAGGTCCGTTAAAATATCTTTATTATATTTTTGAAGCATAATTATAGGTATGCTAATCTTGAACTAAAAAAATATAATAACATTTTTGATATAGATATTTCTTAGAAATAAAAAAGCCGTTCTTCAAGTAAAATGAAGGAAACATGAAAAAGGAAGCAAAGAAAACTTATAATCTCAAGAAAGGCATTAATTGATGAGCCTGGTATTTGGTTTTTCCAATTTATATTTACAATACAGAAACATACTGTATGTCCTCCCCTTTGATGTCTAGGGACATTGTCTTCTGTAAAATACTTCCCATTTATCATTAATTAAGTTTGCAAGAAATCTAATTCTTATAATAAGTGGCTTCTTACTGATATTAACTAACATTTTTTCTTTGAATTAATAAGCATGTAAGGTGCTAAAGTATTAGCTCAGTTTCACATAAGAGTGGAAAATTCTAGAGAGTTGTATTTGTGTGAATGTGTGTGATTTTTGTCTTAGAAAACTGTAGAAAAAATTCAGATAATACTAGCATTATAAGAGACAAAACATAAGCATAAAAATACTGTGATATAAATCTAAAATTTAATTAGCTTAAATTAAACTGTTAAATTTAAATGCAATACTAAAATTAGAAAAAGGTTTAAGAAAATAAAGGAAATCCGTAAATTGATATGAAATAGACTGTGATAAAAATTGGACTGGAACAAACCAGAAAAAGAGTACATTTATAAGTGTGAAAGAACAAGATTCATGAACTGAGAATTGGTACATGAAATTTTGATGAACGTGATTTTGAGCAGCCTGTAAGATGTATTGAAATGAGCTGGGCATGGTGGCACACGCCTGTAATCCCAGCACTGGAGAGACTGAGGCAGGAGGATCACTGTGAGTTCAAGGCCAGACTGGGCTACAAAGTGAGCTCAAGGCCAGCCTGAACTGTATAGTGAGACCCTGTCTGAAAAAAAAAAACAAAGAAGAATTGAAATGGGTGAAGACAAGAGTTCCAGTGAAGACAGCTATAGCATCTCAGATATAGTATAAAAGTGACCACCTTCATTTAGGTATAGAAATGTATGCTATTGAAGAAATATAATGGAAAATTATTTTAAAAATTAATTTAGGCAGAAGATTGATGATAGACAATAGTTATGAATAGTTGTAAAGGTAATGAATTTGTATTTATTCTTATGCAGTAACTGAAAGGTTACAGTGATTGTGGGAAAAAGATAATTTTTCTCTTACCTATTAAGTTGCTACCTTGAATGAAATTACCACATCTTGGCGAAGGAAGTGCTTTGAGAAATGCATTTGGTAAATATCCACATAGATACACTTATTAAAACTCTACTGCTGCGGCTGGGATTCTGGCGCAGTAGTAGAGTGCTTGCCTAGCATGCGCAGGGACCTGAGTTTAATCCCCAGTACCACACAATAAAACCCTGTATGTGCATTCACCAGGGAAATGGATATAATAGAGGGAGAAGGCAGAACACTTAAGGATATCTGCGTTAAAATGTGAGTTAAATTTAACCCATATTGCTGGGACTGTAGTTCTGGTCAAAAGGCGCTGGGTTTGGTCCTTGTCACTGAAAAAAAAAGGCCTATGTCAAGACTGAGTCAAAGAAAGTGCTGAAAAATATAAAAAGATCACAGAAGAATATGGTTTAGGACCAAAGAATACTACTAGTGCAAAAGATACTGATCAATGGTTCTGTACAACTTATGTGAAATAATTGAACTTAACTACAAAAAGATTTTTAACAACCTTAGAACACTTTTATTAAAATAGAGAAGTTAAAGATGAAGATTTCTTAAAATAAAGAACATTCAAGTAATGACTACATGAAGTAGATTGGGTAATTTACAAATTACAAGCGAAGTGTAATGCTCAGTGCAGTAAAACTTAAAACAACTTAAATTTATACAAAATTTTAGAACATGTTTTCTGAAAGTGCTCATTCAGTTTGTTTGTCACAATAGTTTGCATCCTAACCTTTTATAAATTTGTTTTTCTTCATATGCCTAACTTATTTATCAAACTGAAGAAAATTAATTTCTTACAGATACAAGACTGGCAATGATGGCTTCCCCAGAACTGAAGGGTCTTGCTCCCTTCAGCAGGAAATCTCTGGAACTTATAAAGCAGCACATCGCTAAGAAGCACAGTGAGGAAAATGAAGAGGGTGATGTAAAGCCGAATCCTGACTTGGATGTTGGCAGAAAGCTCCCCCTTACTTATGGAACCCTTTCTGGGGGGATGGTGTCGGAGCCCTTGGAAGATGTAGACCCATACTACTACAACAAAAAGGTAAGAAACTAATTGAAATTATTATGCCTACATTTTTATGCTATTTTCCAAATGTGCAAAAAATGTAATTCAGATCAGAACTAGGGACTGACACACAAAGAAATAATTTTAAATTATACAAAATTATGTAAAGTATTTTATTTTGGTAGCACATATATTTAAGATTCTTATCAAAACTAGTAACTTATCTGATTATGTAGTTTTCATTACTTCTTAATATATGTACTACCATGCTTTAATATAAATGATTTGTTTTAGAATAGGGTGATTGACTATCAATCTTGAGTAACTCTAAAATTTCTGGAATATACAAAATTTGGAACAGTTAACGATGAGCTCTGTCAAAAGTTAGGGAAGTATTCAACCTATATTCATCATTTATTCACATACATTAGCATATATTCATGCCTTATCTCTAGGAAGACTTGAGACACATACCAATATATTTACAATCCTAAAGATTATAGGATTATACTATTACAGAAAGCTAAATATGATAAAACTGTGTTTGGAAAAGGCAGACTGTAGATTAATAAAGCTGGAAAAGTCTTTATTAAGAAAGAAAAACCTGAATAACAGCTTGAAGAATATTTAAGATTTTAATAATGCAAAGGGGAGGAGACCTTTGTGAAGAGGCAAGGGTGGAGACTGATTCTGCAATAGAGGAAAGAATGAGGAGTGATGTAACAGGAAACTCAGCCATGCTGAAACTTGTGGGAAAAAAGATGATGTAACAGAGTTATCAACTTTAATTTAATGTAGTGAACAAAGGGTGGGGTGATGAGGACAGTGTTTAAGTTAAACTGGCATTAGTCTAAATTGGCATTATGACTCACAAAAATGTAGATAAGCAGTTAAGCCTAATTATGGATGAAGGTAATAAATGCATTTCCATTTGATTTAGGTTGTAAAAGAATTTTATTTTTTGTCTTTTTGAGACAAAGTTTCACTATACAGTTCAGGCTGGCCGGGAATGCACTTTGCAGCCCAGGCTGGCCTCGAACTCACAGAAATCCTCCTGCCTCAGCCCCCCAAGTCCTGGGATTACAGGTGTGCACCACCACGCCAGGCCTTATAAAAGAATATTTGAAAGAAAAAAAAGTATAACTATTCTAATCATTAGGAGTGTATTGCATAATTGAGACTATTGTAGTTCTTCATTCCAATTTCACTTGATTTTTTCTCCTTATAGACTTTCATGGTATTGAATAAAAATAGAACCATCTTCAGATTCAATGCTACCTCCATTTTTTGTACATTATCTCCCTTCAGTACTATTAGAGGAACAACTATCAAAGTATTGGTACACCCATATCCTTTTCTTTTGGCTTGTTGGGTGTCTTTTAAAGGGCACTAATAACAAATCAGTTATTCTATTAGCCGACTATTCCTGCAGAGGGTTTGTTGTTCAGATTGGTACCTCACATTACATTGAAACCTGGGTTATACTGCATTAATTATTTCATACATAAAATTATAAAGTATGTTTTGTAATACCCTCAGTAGTAGTAGAAATTGACAAATATTCACATTTACATTGTTTTTTAACAAGAATTATATTTATATTTTGAATACAAATATATTTTATTCCATGTGCATATGAACACAGATTATAGAATATATCTTTGCAAATGTTATTTATTACTCATTATTCCTTGACTGTAACCTACTCTTTTCCAACTGTCAATCTTAATTGGTGTGCTCACTGATTGCATACTCATGACCATGATTAATTTGCCAGAATGGGGACCAACAGCAGAGTAAGTCATATAACTTTATTTTCATAATATCCCATAAATAATATCTTATTTCTAACATTCTATTTAAATATCATATTTTAATAAATTGTATGTTACATTATATAACATTGCACAATTTAATATTTATACTTTATGTATAGTAGCATAATTATAATATATAAAGTACTATTCATATATGTGTAATAACGAATGAAATTTCCAAATTCAAACAAATGTCATTTCATCAATTTTAAGCTATTTCTGCTTTTTCATTATTAGATTTTAATTGCATCTATTTCTCAATAAATGAGATTAATATTTGATTCTTTAACTGTAAATTTATTTTACGGTATCATACAGATGGATCTTATTGCAAACTCAATTATGAATGATTAATGTAATATTTCAATGCCTTGGGTCTTTACCATTGCAACATCACACGATTTTTTCTAGCTCATGGAAACTTTCACTTAAGTTGTTAATGTCCTACTCTACTTCCCTTCTTTATAAGATGTAAACAGTCTCACTTGTATAACACTATGAAGATAAAAGGCCAATTAAATTTTCTAGGGAAGAAAGCTTACTTAAAGTTACTTTCTGTAATGGTTTGAGCAATCTTTCATTCTTACATCTGATAATCTGAGCGATGTAGTTGAGGATAGCGATATGCAATGTAGCAACCTCTGTTGATTTGTATTAATTTGTCTTGAGGCCCTGTATCACTTTGAACATTCTTGCTTTGATCTGTTTATGTTCGTGATACTGGTATGCTGCTACTGTTCTATTTTTTTGTTTGTTTCTCATGTACTACTCTCTTTAAAATAAAAAAAAGTTACTTTCTGAACTTTCCTCTTAAAAATTGTTCTTTTGGGAAGGCTTATTTAATACTAACTCACAAAAAAATCCCTTATATATGGTGATCATAAATTAGGTCTTGTATACTCAATTTGTTATTATTATTAATTTTTGTTCAATCCCATATTGAGTAAATTTGATATTTTCATAATTAGCCTAAGTAATATGGAAATCCCAGCATCTTGTTGAAAGAAGTTTTGTTGAAAAGTTGGCAGTCAGATTTCATAGCTGATGCCACAAGGCATAGCCATCCTAGAAATTCTATCTAAAAGAGTTGTGTTTTAGTCTTCGGCATGTGGAAAGCCAGTTTTTCCAGCACCATTTATTTTTAGGCTATCTTCTTTCCATTGAACATGTCTGGCCCCTTTGTTGAAGATAAGGTGAGTGAGTGTGTTTGTAGTTGTATCTGTAACTTCTAATCTGTTCCATTGTTGATTTATATTAATTTGCCTTGAGACCCTGTATCACTTTGAATGTTCTTGCTTTGATTTGTTTATGTTCATGATACTGGTATGCTACTACTGTTCTATTTTTTTGTTTGTTTCTCATGTACTACTCTCTTTAAAATAAAAAATAAAATAAAATAAAAATAAAAAGAACTGTGTTGAGCCTCGAGGGGCACTTGCTCTTTTTTTTAGTGTCCATTATTTTTTATTTGAAATGAGTAAGAACAAGTAGATGGTAAAATAGTTGGTTCAGTACTTGGCATATAATTTTTTCTACTTTATTATTTTATATGTTTAACATATGTAAGCTTAGTTTTGTTATGATCACTAATTATTCTTTATAAATATTGTTATTATATAACTATCCTCCTGACGGTGGTAATTTGGTCTGGCTTTTTGTCATGAACTCGAAGTGATCTCATTGGTTGTTTTGACCTGCCAAACAGGAATGTGTTCACCTTTCCATGATGTATTTTCAAATACCGTATTGTTATAAACAGTATTTCAGGATGGACCATGTACTATTCTTACTTCTACTATTGGCATAATTTTTTTTCTGCAGGCACACTTTGCTTGGAATTTATACATTTGAGATACTTGTAAAAATCATTGCAAGAGGTATCTTGGCTGGACCTTTTTCTTTCTTTGGGGATCCATGGAACGGGCTTGATTTCAGTGTGACTTTGTTCGAGTAAGTATTTCTTCAACTGGCAAACATCATAACTCTGTGAAAATAATGCATCCAGTTTAAAAATTGGGGCTTTCAAAGACTTTTGCTTGCAAAACCTCTGCAAGTAAGGAATATCGCATAAGTTATAGAGAGTCTCTCAGGCAGCTATCTCTGTGCTAATCCTCAATATAGCTAATGCAAATGAAAGGAATAGGTTTTCTACTTTTCTGTTGTGAGCAAGAATATCAGAGTTTGAATTTACATGTTTCATGTGGTCTTTTAGCATGTAGATAATTCCCCACAGGCATAAAACAGTATCCTAGGGTATTCATTCTCAGTCCCTCAGTCAACTTGTCATTTAGCCACATTGTTTGAGACCAGGAAATATACTAACTATAAGGTATTTTAAAAATTAATCTTATGTATGTATTTATATATTTGTACTCATTATGTTTGCGCACATAATGTTTACATTCCTTGTATGGCGCTGTTTCCCCAATTCCATTTTTTGCCCTCTTTATCCCCATCACTCAATCACCTTGGAATTTGAAAAATGTATCTATTACTACTTCCTATTATCTGTCTTTTACATTGCTCCTTATTTATAACTTGGGCTTATTTTTTTTTAATTTTTTGGGAGGTAAGCCAGTTTATTGGTATGTCATGATGCACCACCCACTTATTAAGCGCAGAGGACTTAATTTAAATTTCCAGAAACAAAGCAGGAACAAAAAACACTATGAACAAAAACCATTGTGAGTTTCCAAGGATTTGTTTCCCTTCAGTATTTAAATATGATTTCTTCTGTCATGTACTTAAGTGAACATGATTTATAGCCGTAAATTTTTTTATTGTTAGTACAGCCCTTGTGAAAGTTATAAACGCTTCCAGAGGAAACACTTTTGTTGTATACCATTCTCTCATAAAATAGGAGGCAAACTTGTGAGCTCAGGACTTTAGTCGTAGGCACCGCCTGCACATATGTATTGCTGATGTGGAACCACTGCCCTTTGGAGGATTCCATTTCAAAATCTAATGGAATATCACCATGAAGAGCAAGATTAGAGAGATGATGATTTACAGTTCTTGCTTTGGCATAAGCGGTGTAATGCCCTGGCCTCATTGTACCCCTGTGTTCAACAATTCCATATAAGGAATATAGGGCTCTTGCATTTTCTTCAGTAACATTCTTGCACTTAAGAGACAAAAAAGAGCCAAATCTAATTTGGGCTTATTTTAAACATATACAAATTTTCTGTAGTATTATGGTTTTTGGTTTTTTGGTTTGTTTTGTTTTTGTTTTTGTTTTTTTCTGGTACCAGGAATCGAACTCATGACCTCACGCTTGCCAGGCAGGCGCTGTGCAGCTGAACTAAATCCTCAGCCCCTGCAGTATTATGTACTATTCTAAATATTTCATGTCCATTTTTTAATACTTCCTTCAGAGTATTTTTTTATAGATATGGAAATGCTCATGGTCATCACATTCTGATTTAAAATGGTTTTAAATGACACTCTATTTGTAGTTTTCTAGTGGTCAATTTTTCTTAAAACATAAACTCTTTAAAAAGTATAAGCAGTGTCTGCTATATTGTAAACAATAAAAAATAATAGCAAATATCATTTTAATTGTTTTTACTATCTCTACTGTTACTACAAATGCATCTTTTCTTTCTCTTATTACTAGGTAACATTTAGCTAACTCAGCTAACTTATTACTTACTATGTGTTAAGTCCTCCTTTATACACTTAGATACATTATCTCATTTAATCTCTACAACAAGCCTCTGAATCAAGAAATATTATCCTTAGTGTCCAAATGAAGATACTGTGGAAGAATGATTAGCTAACTTTCCCCTGTCATACAACTATCAAATGTTGGAACCCACATTTCTATGCCGTCAGTGTGGCCTCAAAGCCTGTGCCTTAAATTGAAATGCACGCTACTTCTATAGTCAATCACCGCTCACTGCCATTGTTTCCACTGCTGCCCTCCTGATCATCACCGTCCCTGTCATTGTTCTCGTCATGGCCACTATTGGCAGCTGTAAATGTTTCAAGTGAATCCCACGCTTTTAAAAATCTATAAACTTTTCTTATTTTATCTGTATTGTCAGTAATATGATAACACAGTACTTATAAAAATAATGTGGAATATTTGATATGAAAGTAAGAGTATTCAGCATCAAACTGTTAAAAATTCTCATAATTAACTTTTGATGATTAATATCTACTTCTCTGTTTTGTAACAATTTTATCTTTTAATCAACAATAAAATTATTTGAAAAATGGAAATAACATGAATAAGTAAAATGCTTCAATAGAAAACTTTAAAATAAATTTCAAAGAGCATAAAAAGCTGAACATAAGTAGCAGAGACTCAGTATGACTTCTGAATAACTCTAATTTACTTCTACAGGGTTGTAACAAGGTTCTCACCTCTAAACTTAACTTACATGCTTCAAATTATAAGAACTTTGAGAATTTTGAAAATTATTCCTTTAAACCAAGGTAAGAAATGTCATTGGATGTTTTTTCCATTGTATTATACATTCGTTCCCACAGTCATTTGTCTCTCTTATTCCTCAGAGAAAATGTTAAATTGACAATATTTTCTGTTTGAAACCAGTGAGTCAGCCGATCTTCAAACTTATTTGTTTCTCCAGGAAATGCAACAAAAATATATTTACTGTTTTTTACATTGTGCTAGTTCAATGGTTATAGTATCAAAATATAGATTAATCACTTATACTTTTACTGTTTATTTTTTGCATTTTTACATATGAGCTTTTACAACTCTTTTTAGATTCCTGAGGACAGTCCAGGGAGATGCCTAGTATACCTCCTCCTCTTGCTCACTGGCTCAAGAAACCAGTTGAAAGGAAGCAAATAACAGAAAATATGACAAATTTCCCTTTGCTGAGTGCTTGCATAGGATGCAGTCCACATACCATAAAGTTCTGGGAGTTTCTCTTAAATAAACAGAGAACTGGGGCTGGGGATTTAGCTCAGTGGCACAGTGCCTGCCTGGGAAAGGCAAGGTTGTGAGTTCCATTCCTGGTACCGGGAAAAAAAAAAAAAAAGAAAAAAACAAAAACAGAGACTTGTGTTCACAGTTTCTGCAGATGTTGAGGCCTAATTTACAACTTCCATTTCTGAACATATCCTGTCAGAAGCCCACTGGTAAACAACTTATAATTTATTTAGAATGAGTACAATCAGGTAAAAACAAGTCTGATAGCTTTTTGGCTGCTGAAAATCAGAAATATTATGAAATTATTCTATGAGAAACCCAAGGGCAAATGTAATGATGCTGAAATGAGGTCCGTTGTGGACTAGAACACTATGAAGAAGGTCACCCTCTGTGTACACTGGAGTCCAGGCTGAGCACATCAGAAAAACAGATCTGAGAGAAGATTGTGGTAATGGCTTCACAAACCATTCTGAAACATTGAATTGCCAGGTATGGTGGCGCACGCCTGTAATCCCAGCACTGGGGAAGCTGAAGTAGGATAATCCTTAAGAGTTTGAGACCAGCCTGGGCTACAAAGTGAGCTGAAGTCCAGCCTGAACTGCATAGCAAGGACTTGTCTCAAAAAAAAAATAAATAAAACATTGAGTTGTACATATTAAACAAATGAATTCTGGGGCTTCTGAATGATATCTCCATGAATCTGTTCAACAAAAGAAATTGTCTGTGCCATGATAGGTTCACCAAATCCAGAGCAGGTAATACTACTTTACAAATCTCTTTTAAATACAGGAACAAAGAAATCATCTGTTGTGCAGTCCCAGTACAACAAAATCTAGTGTCTCTCAGGAAAAAGATAAAAATATGATGCCAAAAGACTATTCAGTGATCATAGGAGCAGGGAAAGGCAGCACAATCAGTGCTTTAAATAATACCACTGTGTAAAGAAAGACTAGAGAAGTCCTGTGCTAACCAAAGATGAGGTGGACTAATGGAGGAGAGAAAGCTGAATTCAATTCACGCATAATTGGTAATCCTGAGAAGAGGCCAGGTAATCCCAAAAAGTAAATTGTTCAAAAATATGTTAGAAAACATTTTTTTAATTTTGTCACTGGAGGAAAAATTTTCTTATGAATGGAAAGGTCTCATCTTATACTAGACAAACATTAAAGCATACACATAGTATAAAATGTTATAAAACATTAAAGAATAGTAATAAATAGAACCTGTGAGCAATCAAGCAGAGTTACAGATCTATGTAAAATAAAGGTCATTCTTAGACTTCTTCAAAATAGTGGGGGAGTGTGCGAAGGGAGGTTGTGACACTAGAATTCTACAGACATATGTCGAGTCCACAGAAAAATATTGTGACCCATGCAAGAGCTCTTAAGTTTTACATGTCTGTCTTTCTTAAATAGTTGTATGAAAAGACATGAAAATAAAGTATCCAATAATGGCAAAATTTAATTCTAAAATAAATCAGAATGAGCTCTGAAACAATTCCAACAGAGAACAAATTTCAAATTACTCTTGCTTATAGGTTATAAGTCAAAGGTTACCTTATAGACATCTATGAGCCGTTCTTGAACTCAAGACACATGTCATTTATGTTTTAGAAAACTATGAAATACATGCTAACATTATAAAATTTTGGTACATTTTGCTAAATCGAAATTAACTCAGGTTAATTGTCACCTGTGAGCCACACTCATTTCTGAAGGGCAGGATAGTTGTTGGTATGGAGCAGCTTCCTCTTTTAGGCCAGGGATTACCATCGAAGTCCTCTCCACTTTCTCTGCATGAATTTTACATTTCTAACAAGCCCTTGCAAATATTTGAATGCTACTTGTCCTATAAGTTATGTCAAAGTATGCATGACACAAAATATATCATTGTTTTACCATTGTAATTCTGTCGAGGTAATACATTATACTAATAACAAATGATATATTGGAATAGAAAAGTGTGATTAAGTAAATATGATTATTTCTTTAACTTACATGGTAAAACAAAAGATTATATGGTCTATTCATTTTTATTTTTTTAATTTTCTGTGGTGCTGGAACTCTAACTCAGGGCTTCCCCATGGCTTCTGGTATGCTAGAAAGTGTTCTACCACATAGTTATACCCAGCCTTCATTCTTATAATTTTTTACATAGAGATCGATATGTTAGTTCAAAATAATAATTGAAATTTGACATAATCACTCAAGGCATACATATTTAACCCAAATACCAGAAAAAGAATACTGAACAAAGGGAGACGTGTTGAGTGATAAGGGCAATACAAAAATAAATAAAAATATGCTGTATATGGTTGCTTGCCTCTATATTTCTGGCTATGTAAGAGTTTAAGTCCACAGCATTCCCTTATTTTGAGGAGAGTGTGACCAGTCTGGGCAATACAAGGAAACCATGCTTTCAACTAAACACATAAATACATTTTCAATTATCACAGCAATAAGTGAAAAAATTATTCTCACTTTAATGGTAATAAAAGAGCCATAGAATATTGATAATTTCTTCCATGTCACAAAGCTATTTTCTGTCATACATTTTTGAGCTGAGAAGTTCCTAAATACACAGAGACCAAAAACCCAGAAAAAGAGAAACAAAGAGAGGGCAGGGGAGAGGGAAAAAATTAGTTTACATGCCAAAATATTAATAGTAATTTTACCTAAGAGATACAATTACATAATTTTTGTTTCCTGTTTTCAGTATTTCACTTTTCTCATTTAATAATCAGACAAATGAAAGTCCTTCAATAAATCCAACTTTAACTTAGAATTCTCGAGTAGTAAGAATTCTCATATAAGTAGTTTCCTTACATCACAGTTGTATTATTCACATTACTAATTACAGTAATTTTTGTTGACAGGTTTTGTTTAACTAGCTCTAAATTTGAATTATTATATTTGATTAAAGAATAGTGTAAAAGATTACAGTTTTGAATCATTTCTTGTTTGAACAATTTCAGCTCATTTTGATTTATAACTTTATACAAAACTTGTGCTTGTACTTGACGGTAGTAGTTGGTATGGCGAGCATATCCAAGAGAGAAATTGTTATTGTTTATATAGTAAAATGAAACAACCAAAAAAAACACCCTAACTGTAAATATTGTGTCTGAATTATTTCATCAGGTATTACAAATTAGCAATAATAAAGAAATATTAAAGTTTGACTTTTATTCATATTGATAGATGTAGATAAAAAGACTTTAAATATGATACAGATGTGTTCATTTCAAAGGAGCAGTATTTCTATTTTATCATAAACATACATTTCTCTTTCCAGGTCTGAAGTCACTGGTAGGGATTCTGATCCATTACCTGAAGAAACTTACTGGTGCCATTGCCCTAACTCTGTTTTTTCTGAGCATATTTTCTCTAATTGGGATGGGACTCTTTATGGGCAACCTGAAGCACAAATGTTTGTGGTGGCCCCAGGAAAATGAAAATGAAACCTTATACAACAGAACTGGAAACCTGCATTATACTGAAGGTAAGAATCACTCACCATCTATGTAAAAATTTTAAACTTCTCAAAGGCAGAGGCATCTTCACAGGAATAAACACTCAACTTTAAAGCCACCTACTTAAGTGCCCTAACTATCATGCTCTAATACAAACTTGGATCAGTTTCATTTATGAGGATAGCAGAGTTCCCAATCTTCAGAATGTTAAATCAGGGGAATTTAAATTTTGCAAGTTATGTTTTAAAAGTATCAGTGTTATTTGCTATTTCATTAGAGAGATCTTAAGATATGATCTTTGTGCTGTGATATTTCCATTCTATAATAAATGTGCTTATTTTATGAATGCTAATTTAGTCATTAAAGTTTTTGAGATGAAGTTAAAAGTCAAATCATGGCCATCATTATAGAAATTCTCATTACTTTTTATTTCAAAGGTTAATATATTGCTGTGGTGTGATGTTTTTAATTGTTCTGGGATGATAGCCAGAAGAGGACATGCTGGGTCAAATGGGAACGCTAATCCTAGTTTTTTGAGAACTCTAAACACTAATTTCTACAGTGGTGGCACCAGCCTACACTCCTGTCAACAGTGGAGAATGATTTCTTTTTTACACATAGCCCGTTCAGAATTTATTGTTGGTTGATTTCTCGATAATAGCCATTCTTTCTGAAGTGAGATGGAATCTCAGTGTTGTTTCAATGTGCATTTCTTTAACAACTAATGATGAACATTTTTTCATGTATTTATTTATCATTTGTATTCCTTCATCTGTTTTTTAAAATTTGTGTCTGTTGAATGAATAGTGATGTTGAACATTTTTTTGATGTATTTATTTGCTGTTTGCATTTCTTCCTCCAGAAGTGTGTGTTCATCTCAGATGCTCATTTTTGAATTAAGTCTTTAAATTTAATTGGGTCTATTTTTCTCCAAGTCTTTATACCTTCTTAATACTAGTTCTTTGTCTGAGGGACAACTGGCTAAATTTCTCCCACTCTACTCTTTATCTTTATGCTCCATTGGTGATTTCTTTGGTGTGCAAAAGCTTTTTAATAGAATTAGATCCCTGTTGTTGATTCTTTGTAGTATTTCCCATATGATCAGGGTTTTGTTCTTGAAATCTTTGACTACACATATGTCTTCAAATGTTTTACCTCGTCTCTTTTCCAGCAGACTTAATGTAAATGTTTTAGTATTGAGATCTTTGGTGCATTTTGATTTTAGTCTATTGCATGGTGAGAGACATGAGTCTAGCTTTAGTCTTTGGCATGGGAAAAGCCAGCTTATCCAGCACAATTTATTAAAGAGGCTTTCTTGCAGTGAACCTATTTGACCGTTTTGTTAAATATATGGTGGCTGACTGTGTTTGGAATTGTTTCTACATCTTCTAATCTTTTCTGTGGAACTTCAGGACTGTTTATTTATTTTTGCCAGTACCATGCTATTTTTACAGTAGCTTTGTAGTATAATTTTAAGTCATGGAAATATAATTTCAAGTCCCCCAATACAGGGATTGTGATGGCCCCTGCTTTGCCTTTGTGCTCAGGATTGTTTTTGCTATTTTAGGTATCTTCAGGTCTCAAATGAATTTTAGGAATGTTTTCTCTAGATCTGTGAGGTATGCTAATGGTATTTTGATTGAGATTGTATTCAATTTTTAAACATTTTTGGGAGTATGGCCATTTTCACTATGCTGGTTCTTCCTACCCAAGAGTATTATCAGGGGGGCCTGGGTATTTAGCTCAGTGGCACAGCACCTGCCTGGAAAGCATGAGGTCATTAGTTCGATTCCTGGTACCAGAAAAAAAACAAAACAAAACAAAACAAAACAGAAAAGGAAAACCAAGAGTATTATCAGGATAATACTTTCTTGCACGAGTGATTTTGGGAGTATTGCTTCCCTTTCAATTTTATTAAAGAGTGTTAGCAGGAGTGGCATTAGATCTCTAAATTTCTTGTAGAATTCAGGGGTGAATCTGTGAGGACCTGGGTTTTTTGTTGTTGTTATTGGTAAGTTTTAAATTAGACCTTTAATTTCATTGACAGATATTGGTTTATTTAGATTTTTATATCTTCTTAATTCGGCTTTGATAATTCATATGTATCTAGAAATCTGTTGATTTCTTCTTTGTTTTACATCTTATTAGAGTACAGGCTCTTGAAGTAGTTATTGATGCTCTTCTGGATTTCCATAGGATCCATGGTGATTTCACAGTTTTTATTCTGAATTGCATGAATTTGAGCCTTTACTTTGTTCTTTTTGGTAAGATTGCATAATATTTTATTGATTTTGTTTAATCTCTCAAAGAAACAATTCTATTCATTGATTCTTTGTATTGTTTTTTAGTCTATAATCAATTAATTTCTGCTCTGATCTTTATAAATTCCTCCCTCATACAAGCTTTGGGTTTCATTTGTTCTTCTTTTTCTAGAAGTTTGTTTGAGATTCAATATTAGGTTGTTTATTTGAGCTCATTCTGTTTTTCTTATGTGAGAATTCCACACTATAAATCTCTCTCTAGGAACTGCTTTGTCTCACATAAATTCTAGTATGTTGTCCAAACATTATAATATAATTGTAGGTATTGTTTAATTTCTTTTTTGATTTCATTCAACTCCTATTGGTTGTTCAGGGAGGTATTATTTAATTTCTATGTATTTATGTAGTTTTTGTGGTTTCTTTTGCTGTTGATTTCCAAGTTATTGCACTAAGGACAGATCATATTTATAGTATAATTTAAATTATTTTGCATTTACTTAAGCATGTTTTATGAGCTAGTATGTGGTCTATTTGGGAGAATGTCCCTCGTCCACCTGAGAAGAATGTGTATTGTCATTTTTCAGGGGAAACACTTTGTAGACATCTTCTAAGTCCTTTTGTTCACAGATTTGGTTTAGTTCTCATATTTGTTTGTTGACACTTTGTCTAGTTGATTTGTGTATTTGTAGCAGTGGGTATTAAAGTCTCCCATTACATCTGTGTTAATACTTATTTGCTTTTTCTTTTCTGTTAATATTTGTGTTATGTAATTGGGTATGAAAGTGTTTGGTGCATATAAATTTATGATTGTTATCCCTTCCTCTTGGATTGTTCCCTTAACAATTGCATGGTGCACTTTCTCTCTTTTGATTATTCTTATGTTAAAGTTCACATCACATTGTCTGCAAATAAAATAGCTACTCCTGCTTTTCTCTGGGTTCCTGTAATACTTAGTATTGCTTTCCATTGTTTAACTTTCAGTCTATGAATTTGTTTTTGAATTAAATGTAGTTTTTATATGTAGTATATTGTTGTCTCTTGCTTATGATCCATTCTGCCAGTCTGTTTCTTTGATTTGGGATCTGAGATCATTTACATTGATGTTTATAACCAATATGTACTGCTTTATCCTTCTCATATGTTGTTAGTATCCTATCTTTCCTCTCTACTGAATTGCTTTCTCTGCCTTGTGGCTCTTTTCTGTGGTGTTTTTGGAGATGTGATGCTCATTATGTCTTTCTAAAATATCAAAGCATTTTGGAGACTTTTTTAATGGTTTTGAGTTTCTTTAGGTGTTCTTTGTCATGGAAGTATCTTATTTCTCCATAGATTTTGAAAGATAATTTTGTATGATACACCAATCTCATTGGAGGTTGTTTTGTTTTAGAGGCTTGAAATAATTCAAGCTCTCGTTGACTTGAAGTCTTGTGTTGAGAAGTCTGCTGTCATTCTGATGGGCTTTCTTTTATAGATGATTTGTTTCTTTTCTCTAAATTCTTTTTTTTTTTTTTTTTTTTTTTTTTTTTTTTTTTTTTTTTTTTTTTTTTTTTTTTGGTTTTTCTCTGGTACTGGGAACCTGACTCATGACCTTGCGCTTGCCAGGCAGCGCTTTTGCCACTGAGCTAAATCCCCAGCCCCTCTAAATTCTTAATAGTCTCTTCTTATGCTGAATTTCTGAAATTTGATTATTACATGTGTTGATGTAGATTTCATTTGATCGTGGCTATTTGGAATTCTATCTGCCTCACTTCTTTGTATGCCAAATTCTTTATCCATGCTTCTGCCATTATTTCTGTGAAGAGGATTTTTATGGTGTTTGCTGTATCATTGATCTTCTCATTGACTCAGATCAATCTTATGTTGCTCTTCTTTGCTTTATCTTGCAGCTGTTGAATTGGTTTTTCATGGCCCCTTGCTATTTTTAAATATCTTTCTTTCTGGTCACTACCCCCAAATCTTATCTTATAGAGCTTATATTCTATCCTTGCCTTTATTCAATCTCTTGTATATATATTCAATGGGATTTTTAATTTCCTGGATATCTGTTGGGATATCTGTCCTGGATTCCATTTATTTCCTATGTGGGGTATACTTGCTTTCCATCATTTTCTTCAGCTCCTCTACTGTTTTATTTGTATCAACTCTAGATTTCTTGAGCCTGTCTTTCATTTTGATCATCATTTCTTTCTTATCTGAGAGATTATTTTTTCTATAGTTTCATCCATTTGTTTTTTAACTTCTGCTGCCATCATTTCAGGAAGTTTCAGTGGGTGGCTTCCAATTTCCTCAATCTCATTGTGCTCTGGACTTGTCCTGGGTGGGCTGGAGTTTTGAGGTTGCATTTTGCTTCTGCATCTTGTCATTTTCTATTTCTATTTTATTTTGTTTCCTGTGTTGATGCTTGTAGATTTCCTAAGGTGCATTAGCATCAAGACTTTGCCAGGAAATGTCTATTTCTCAGAGATGTCTTCTAGGTGTAGGCAGTTCTTGATCTTTCTATCTATTGCAAGAACTTACCTTCCAAATTTATTAATGACAAGAAGTTGCTCTCTATTGGGCTCAGCACCCACTCTTTTGATACTGGACTATGGTGATGGTTATGACCCAAGAAAATCACAGTGTTGTCTTTCAGGGGTGAAAGACTGATTACAACATATATGACATCCTAGTTAAAGTAATACAATTAACAGTATGAGTAGCATCAAGCATAGTCTAGCAGTTGACAAACTATGATAACCTTTAATGTGGTCCCTTTAATCATAGGAGCAAACTCTATATTTATGTAACAAAATCCAATATGTACCAGGAACTTGTACATGATGTTTCTCCTTAGTAAAGTGACTTTGTCAAGCATAAATGACATGTGAGAGGGATGGGGAGAAAACAGAGATTAAGGAGGGGAAACAGTAGAAGCAAGGCTGAAGGGAGAAGGATGATCATCGAATTTTTGGGAAACTGGGGAAGAGCACAAGACAGAAGGAATGAAATAGAAAGTGAAAGAATATTGAAATGTACAGTTGGTTCCTTCAGGACCTTGCACAGCTTCCTGTGTTCCACACCTCTGACTTCTCATACTTGCTGGTCATAAGCAGGGGAAGTGCCCTTGTTGCAGCATAGGCCAAGACTGCTTTCCTGCTTGTGCTGCTAAGCCAAGGCTGCTCTACTGGTAGCAGACCAGGCAGACTCTTCCACTCCTTTGTATTTAGGGCTAAGATTGGCTTTTGGTGGCCACTGGAGTGGAGTCTGAGTGGTCTCAACTCCTACCTCTCCACAGAATCCTCCCCCCTCTGCTTCCCACTTGCTGGCATTCTACTGTAACTGAATAGCTCTTCCCTCATTCCACTCTGGTATGTTGGCTGTGAAGTGACCTAGGACTGTTCTGCTGCTGGGTTTCACAGGGAAACCTTTGAAATATAATGGCCGCTCCACATACCCACTTTTATTCCATGTGTCTGTGTGCCAAAGCACAGCACCAGTTCACCTCACTCACCCACTGCTAGCTCTGAGAGGCCCCTCAGGAAACAAAGTCTCATCTTCTTGTTGGTGCTTCTGACTTTTTGTTGTCTCCTCACTGTCCCCTGCAGCACCACACTGTCTGCTGCAAACTTGGTACCACCCACTGTTACTATGCCACTTTCATTGGGTTTTGACTGTCATTCAAAAAGATACTGAACTATTTCTGGCTTTAAATGTCTTATTAAATAATTTTACGTGACAAAAGTAATATTAATTGAAATTCTGTTATATGAAAATATAAATATAAGTGAATATACATATTGAAATATATGTATAATTTTGTGGGTTCAGAGTCTATAATTTGTATTTAGAACATAATACCATCATACCTAATTTTCCATAAATACATGTTTGATATTTAATTACATTTTTATTTACACACGATCAGGAAGGACATTGGGATGAATATTGTGAACTATGACTCTACCAGCACAGCTGTTTGAAATTAGGCAACATCAGAGAAAGTACCTCACACTGGATCCTGGGGAATCCATCTTTGCTTAAGTATATCAATATGAATAAGCCCTGGAGAATATTGTGCTCTTCTTCCAGTCTTTAGAAATTTTTCTTTTAAATTCCTGCCAAACCTTGCTCTTTCAAGCACTTTTCTGAACTCTAAACTTGGAAGGGACTTTCCTCTTTCTTTGCTCAGCACTGTCACTTCCAGAGCACCAAAGCTTCCAGGTCCCTAAAGGCCTCTTGGCTTGTGCAGAAATGGTAGGTCTAAAAGGCCTAGATATTTGGTCCTTCTCAGCTATACAGAAATGTTCATCTTCAATGCAGGTCTAAATGAGCTTCCTGTATGCTGCTAATTCAAGATCAGATACAGAACATCATTTCTTTCCTATTTTTCAGAAACAGAAAACTTTTATTATTTGGAAGGAGAAGTAGATGCTCTACTTTGTGGCAACAGAACTGATGCCAGGTAAGTAGGACTAGTCTTTTCTTCCAGCACATCAATAGTGTCACCCATCAATAGTGCTTATTGAACAATTATTCCTTTTACTACTGGTTTCTCAGTTGATTCTATTATTTTGATCTCATTTTATTATCATTACTCAGCACCATGAGTGCTAAGGATGTAGCTCAGCAGTAGGGCACCTGCCTAGACAGCATGAAGCCCTAAGTGCAGTCCTTGGTACCAAAAAAAGAAAACAGACAAAGACTAACAAAATATCTTTTAGAAAAATGCAGTGAAGTTATCCTAGTCCAATTGTGAGTAATACAGTAAAATAGCATAAACTTCTTTGGTTATAAACAATATAAATTTTTTTCTCCCGGCGTGAATGGCTCAAGTTGAGATCAAAGACCCTACCTTGTTATTTGGTGAGAGCCTGCCTTTGGTTCAGAGATGATGCCTTCTTGTTATGTTCCTACAAGGCAGAAGGGCTATGGAGTCTCACCTCGGTCTCATTCGTGCAGAGATTGGTCATGTTCCTGAGGCCTTGCTTCCTGATGTAATCACTTCCTCAAAGCTCCACTTTCTAATTTATCACCTTAAGGTTCAGAAATTAAACACAAATTTTCACCGGAGCTGAAGCCTGCAACATAGGACCGTATTAATTCAGATTCATAGAAAAGATGAAGGCAGCTTAGCAAAATTATTGGTTCAAGGCCTAGAGACTAGTAAATCTCAGAGCTAAGACTTCAGCAAGAGTCTGGCTTTGTTTTCCATGTGTCCCAGCATTTGTGAGAATTACAAAGAAAGACAACATAAATTTATTCCTTTTTCTAGAAGAGAAATATTAAAGACATGACAATATTTCACATATTTATGGAATTCATGTCTTTTATGGCTGCAGTTTACATTAATAAAATTATTATTACTTAAAACACTACTTATAAATAATTATTCAGTGAGAAAATAAAACTTCCATGTCTTACTGTCCTATAATTTCAGAAGGGCAAGTAAATAGCTAGAAACATGGCATTTCTCACTATTATCATCTTTAAACAGTTTCCCTATGTTGCTTTGCTTAGCTGGTGTGACTTCAAATCCATCCATAAACTTAGCTCACTTTTACAAATGAGCTCAGATTGACAAAAGGTACATCAAGGAAGGAGCATGAGTTATATAGTTATATTTTATCACTTACTTGGCATGAATCTTTCTGTCCAGCTTCTGCTAAGCTTCCATTTTTGACCTTATCCAATTTGTGAACCTACCTCCTTGTGTAACATCCCCCTTCAACTAATTCTTTTTACACACACCCCCAGCTAAATTATGATATGAAATGCATTTCTGGTTATGAATCTTCAGAGCACAATAAAATATTTTAAGGCAAAATAAAAAGTCATGCAATGTTTCACCTGTGACAATCACACATTACTGTATGATAAAATACACACCCTCCAAATTAATACCTTAATATAAGAAGAAAAATTCATTTACTCAGATTCTGAAGATTAGCTTTAAGCAAGCATCAAAGCGTAAGTATTATTTAAACCTCTACTTTTTCTACTAAAAGGTTTCTGTAACATGACCAAACCTAAGATAACATGGAAAGGAAAGATATAAAGGCTTGGACAGAGGGAAATATGATTTATTTTGCTACTGCCCTGATAATAGATCAGAACAACCATGCACTTTACTAGGTAAAGGATGAATACTATCTGAAAGGAAATAAATATTTAATCTGCACTTTCTCCCAAGTGCAAATTCTGCTTATTAATTATTGATGTAATAAATGTTTTGTCACCTTTAAATAACGGAATCTAAGGCTTTGAGGTAAGATCATTAGAAAATTAAAGTCTTCATTATTGCAGTTTTATTTTTATCAGTACTATCTTCCTACATTTGTATTTTCAGTATGACTTTTGAATTTAAAAATCAGTGCTATGGTTAATAACCATATATTATTTTTTTTTAAATTGCCAAGGTAGTAAAAGATAAGTGTTTTCACCACATGAATAATAAGTATGTTAGGTATTGAATACATTAATTAACTCAAGTTAGCCATTTAACAATTTATACATATTTGAAAGACCATGTTATACACAACAAATGTACACAATTTTATTTGTCAATTAAAACATAAATAAATGTAAAACTATAAAAGCTTAGCAAAACTATCTCTATGATTCCTTATTATTTTAGCTTAATTAACATTATCCACGTGTATCAACTTAAAATCTAACTGACTTGCACTATTTTGACTGTAAAGTTTTGGAGAAACTAATTCCACTCTGTTGAATGAGGTGCCCTCTGCTAGTCACATATAGAATATGTTCCATATTTATTATTTGGCTATAACCCTAAAGTCACCTTTTCTTTGTCTTTAGTCAGTGTCCTGAAGGATATGTGTGTGTAAAAGCTGGCAAAAATCCTGATCATGGCTCCTCAAATTTTGACAATTTTGGGTGGGCCTTCCTTGCCCTATTTCGATTAATGGCTCAGGATTACCCTGAAGCACTTTATCACCAGGTAAGAAGAGAAGAACTATGGGGCTGGGGATTTAGCTCAGCGGCAAAGCACCTGCCTGGCAAGCGCAAGGTCATGAGTTCAGTTCCCGGTACTGGAGAAAAAAAAAAAAAAAAAGAGAAGAACTTGCTCTGCACTTAAAAATGGCACCATGCCATCCTTTACCCAAAATGATCAAATGTAATGTAGTGTATCAAAATTTTATATGTGAGAGACTTTGAGGATAAAAGAAAACAGAAGCAGAATTACTCCATATCAAACTATATGTAGGCTGCCATTCTAGTTCTATGATTTTGAACAATCCATTGTTCAAACAATTCTACAAGGTCAACAGACAGCCTCTGACTTACAATGGCTTTGCTTATAATTTTTTAGCTTCACAACAGTGTGAAAGTAATACTCATTCAGTAGAAACCACACTATGAATTATGATCTTTTTCTTTGACTACTGATGTGTCTTATTATGTCTTTTCTCCATACTATGCCGTAGTAGTGAACCACAGGATCACAAGGACAAACAACTTGTGTTCCACAGGGCTCTGTGTTGCTTGTGATGTTCAATAGGTGGACCAAAATATATTCACAAAAATTATTCTACTCTGCCTTCATATCTAATAATGTGTACTGTAGTTTTTCAAAATTGCAAAATACTAATTAAAACAGATTCAATATTACTTAAGCAACTATACTTGCAATCTTATTTGTTGATTATAATTTGTACATGCCTCATGATTTTGCTCTATAAAATTTCCTTTAAGAGGTGGGCTCAGTGGCAACCCATTTGTGACCCTTCCTGTCTCTCAGGATCTATTCCTACTCCCCACTCCCATTTCTACTATCCAATAAATTTTCCTATTCTTAAAAAAATTTTAATGAGATGTTGCACTACACTAAAATATACTATGTTGTTTTCAAAATAGCAGAATTAATATTAAGAGATGTTAGATAGAATTGTTTACAATTAAAGGGGGAATTTCTTTTTAAAAGACAGTACAACTGCACCATACTTATTTTGGTTGACTGACTTATGGGTTAGTTCAGTGGTAAAAATATTTAACCAAATTTGAAGCAGCTGGTTTACTGAAATATAGAGGTTATTAAAAATACTTTAAAAACCAAATATGCTCAGCCAGACATGGTGGCTTATTCCTGCACCCAATACTCTGGGAAGCTAAGGCAGAAGGATCACAAGTTCAAACTCGGTTTGGGCAGTTTAGCTAGACAACTTCTCAAAATAAAAAATATAAAAACACTGATGCTGTAGCTCAATGTGAAGACCTTTGGTTCTAGTCTTAGCCCCACAAACAAAACAGAAACAGAAATAAAAACAAGTAGCTCCAAGTTAATTAAAAATGTTTATTGAATATTGGAATTTTACATTATATTGTGAACATTCCTTTTTTGGTCAATAATGGAACCAGAACACGTGGGTACTCTACCAGTGAAATATATCCCCATGCTCTTTTGTTTATTTATTTTGGAACAGAGTCTCACGAATTTGCCCAGGCTGGCCTCATATTTTCCACATAAGTAAATTTTTTATTGATTCAAATGGATGCTTAAAATTTAAGACTGTCCACATTTGTTTTCTGGAAGTTTGTTCACGTACTTTCAATTGATGGAAATAAATAGTTGACAAGATTCTACATTTATAATTTTCTACTTGTAATTTTTGAAAACTTTGTATGACCTAATCTGTTAGTTTACTATTATGAAATAAAAAGGTTCTCATGCTAGTTATATTTTTTGTCCATTAATATGCTTCCAATAATGATTTCATATAGGTCACATAATTGATATGATTATTGCATCTTATTTTATCGAAATGTTTTACACTAAAGCAGGTACTATGACAAGTTCATAAATTTTCTTTCTCCTCAACTTTGTATATGCCTCATTTTGTACTTTGCTGTGATTTTTCATAACATAATGATTAGACAAGAGGATCTCTACAACATTCTCTGATTTGACAAAACTTTCAAAATGTAAAAATTCTATTACAAAGAAAATAGTTTCCTAGATTGAGGCTGGTCAATTTGTCCATTAAAAGGAAATTATTTTTATCCAAGTACAGTGGCATGTTCTCTTGGTCCCTGCGGCTCAAAAGACTGAAGCAAGTGGATCAGTTGAGCCTACAAAGTAGGGTAACACAGCAAGAATGTCTAAATAAATGTGTAACAAAATAAGCAAGAAAGAGACAATTATCCTTTCAATAATGAAGATGTGAGAGGCAAATGGTCACCCTAAAATAATTAAAATAATTAATTGGCCTAATTCCACCCTTGGTATTGTAACATATATTTTATACCTCACATATACATGTAAAATTGAAATTTTCATTTAGTTTTAGATAAAGGCAATGTTTAAACTAATTTTAATTACATCAGTTATGAATAAATTAAAACAAAATTTCATTTTATCTTTAACTTTTAGTGATCTCCAAAAAAAAAGAAAAAAAACATAGAATCTACATAGGTAAATAACATTTTGTTCTTTTTTCTGTACTCATCTTTTCCTTAGATTCTTTATGCATCTGGGAAGATCTACATGATATTTTTTGTTGTGGTCACTTTTTGGTTTGCCTTTTATATGGCAAGTTTGTTTTTAGGAATAATTTTTATGGCCTATGAAGAAGATAAACGGACAGCTTCTGAAAAAACTGAGATTGAACCAAAATTTCAACAGACTATAAGAGCACTTCAAGATGGAAATGAAGTAGCTGAGGTATGATTTTTTTATGCTTCTTAAAACTGTATTTCTAGATGTTCTGTCTCAAGGTCTCAGAGTACATTGCCTTCTGATAGATGCTTATATAGATTTGGTTCACAATTAGGTAAAAGTTGTTCTTATAACAGGACTGTAATACACTGTGATAAGAATGACCAACATGTTTAAATATTTAATAGATACATTTTTATGAAATATATATTGTCATTGCTGATAAACTATGTATTTAGAATTAATTTCTCCTAGTACAGTTATACTTTATTAACTCAAACTTGCATCAGATGACACACCAGAATTAACTCTGGAAAATGTCTCTTATTCAATTCTAAATGATGGTATCACCTTCCCTAATTTAAAAATGATGAAATACCAACAGAGTGGATGAAAGAACTATCACAGCATTTTATATATATATATATATA